CCTTTTAGTGGCTCGTTGAATTCATGCCCGATATTTATGATATTTTCTAGTCTTTTGGTTAAATAACATTAAATAAAATATATATAAATAATGTTACACAATTCTTTTCATATTTTTAAAATTCTAGGCTGTATTTATCTTTATTATGATGTTTAGTTTAGTATAAGGAGTGAGAACTAACTCCAATCTTGTAATCTGGCTGAATCTCATGAGATATTGGGATTATGGCCAAAAATACTGCTAACAGAAAGGGTAACAAACTGTTAGATTAATGAATTCTAATCATTATAAGCTTTTGATTTATGACATTGCATGTACTCATTATACTAAACAAGGATATAAAATTTAGCTATGTTAATTACTGGGTTAATTTTTATTTCTGAACTTGAATAACTTGCTTTGACCAAAAGTTATTGATAATTATAAATTTTCATATTACAGAAGAAAACAAGGTTATCCACCAGTTAGTTACGAATAATGTACCAATTTTATTTATCTTTTAACAATGGTCGCTAGCACTATATAATACCCTAAAAACTCGGCCCACGAAATGATCCAGCTGGTGAAAGTAATAAGCATGTTGCTAAAATATGACATTGTCAGGAAAAAAGAACTAGCAACTAAGATGTGTAAATGGATAAAATATTTTATTTCCAATAATAACACTCCACGAATTCACTCTGCACTTAAGGAATTTTAAAAGTTTCAACCTTTTGCAGAATAACTCTGAAAATGTGTTATATAGCACATTTGTGTTCATTAATTACTCTTTTCCAAATCAGTGGTATTGTCCAAGTAACTTAATCTGTCAGGCAGTTAGTAAGTAAAATTCAGTTACATTAAGGTCAAGTTGGACTGTGGTGTACTATACAACACAATTGTATTCTATGGCCAAGGCCACAGATTAGCAAATCAATATTCTAGAGAGCCAGATTATAGTAAATAATTTAAAAGATAACTTGTTTTTTCAAGATTTTTTAAAGGCAACCATCTGTAAATCAACATACAAAACACATTTATTAAAATGACATTATCTCAGTACTGGATTAAAGCATAGGCCAACTAGGCCCTAGCCATACACGGGTCCTGCTGGCCACCCAAGTAAAAAAATTATGGTTCATAGAACTAGCAGAATAGAGGCAAGAGTGAGTTATTATTATTCCCAAATATTACCTGGGCCTAAGGCCTCACTAAACCTTAATCCAACCCTGAGTTACCTGCATACAGTCAATAAACTGACAAGAAATTGACATTATAAAAAAAAATTTTTTTCAAGGACAACTACTACATCTCTTAGCTCTCTGGCAGGTGACACATGATTTTCGATTGCTTCATATTCTACTTTAAATTAATATCAAGATTTCTTATTTTCTTCTTCAACAGGTTCATACCCTTCATTCTGTATCTTATCCTTGAATTGGAGATACTGTCTTTTCCTATCAAAATGCTTGACCTGAAATGAGCAAAAGCATATTTTTATAACTTTTGTTTGAAACAACAGTGAGTGAAACCTTGCATTAAAAATATAATAGTAATACAATTGCTGCTAAATAGTAATTACTTCTGATCAGAGTAAGCTACATACTTAGAGTGAAACTATAAATCAATTTGGCCTTCAATATAGATAATTAAAACCAAACACTACTTATTTTCAGCTAATATTGTTCAGTAATAGTTTTACATCACTAAAGTGAAAGTTTGATGCTTGGTAACTCACAGTAGTTTAGAAATAACAATTTGCAAAGTATTACTGTGTTAAAAAACTTCTTTCCAAGTCTTTAGGAAATTATCAATATGGCTAAGTTAGTATTTGAACATTAAACAAATAAAAGCAATGATAGAAAGCTTAATATGTCATTTCTACCTGAAGGATATTTTTATAAATAAGTTTATTTACATTAAGTACTTTCTCTCTCTTTTTTTTTTAAGTGGGTCATATAATGATGTAATCTGTGGGTACTTGAAAGTCATAAAATAAAACTGCTGAATCTGAATAAGATATATGAAAACAATTCTTCAGAATCAATCCAAGTCAGTCTGCCAAAGTTAAACATTTTTTTGTACAAATAAAATAGAACTTTCAGCGATTCCTAAAACAGTTTGCTGGAAGCTTTCTAAATATAAGAACAGTCAATCACAAATTGTGATATGATAGATGTTACTTCTAAGTTATGAGGTTTTCCATCTTAAAATGCAAGAAGAATCTCAAAATACATTTTTCTTTTACAGTTTTTACAACATGTATAATAAAAAAAAAAGTTGTTTAATTAGAGAAATATTTGTTGTCATGCCAGCCATCATACTTTTAATCTTACATAAACTTCTTAACACAAGCTTTTCAAATTATTTTCTGTCTGTGAACTAACTACTACTGTCTTATTATGCCAAAAATATTCCAAATGTGCACTTGTTTTATTGGTGTTTTTGCTGATACCTGTAAATGTTTTAAAGGTTTCTCTGATTATTGGAGTTACTATCGTATCACTAAAGTGTGTAATCATAATATCAAAATAAGTGTCTTATAACTAGGGTTTCCTATCTTCATATGAACTTAGAAGGAGAGTGATGAAAGTGCACATTGTGTGACATTACTGCATAATCAGTTTTTCCTTCCCTTCACAAACCCAAAAAATGCTTTTCCTCTGGCATAAGGCTTCTGAAAATCTTTCAGTTGAAAATGTATTTTGTGATGGCAAACATTTAAGACTCCTCACTCATCTGTCAAAAAACTGAAAATGAAAAGTAAGTAACTACCATTATAAAATATTTTACTTAACTAGAAGTACATTTAACTTACCCACTGGCTTGGACATTCTGTTTCATACAGCTTTCTATATGCCTTACATTTAGTTGCATCATCATTATTCTTATCCAGACATTCCCAGTACTTATCCCTCATGTCCCAACATCGCTGACGTTGCTCTTTGTTTGGGAATGACATTGCTGAGACTGAAAAAAATGAAATAATTTTCTTCATTTCCATATACACAAGAATATATATACTAATAAAACGTTATTTATGTCTCCACAAAGAGACATACTGTTTCTTCTTCTTCCAAACACTTTTGAACTGACTGCCATTCCTTCATTTATTTTGGTGGATTGACTTGAAACTTTGTAGGGTTATACCTAGGTTCAATACACCTACACACTCCTTGATAGATTGTTTAGGCAGAGTATTCATGATAAAACTTAGTTGAATAAACGGAAAATGCCTGTCGTAGAAACACAAGTGCAGAGGACGACATTTCAAAAATCTTCTGCCTGAAGAAGAAAGGTGGAAGACTTTTGAAACATCGTCCTCTGCACTTGTGTTTCTATAACAGGCAGCTGCCAGCCATTCAACTAAGTTTCAACACCTAGACATCTTTTTATTTTTTTTATTTAGGCTTTAATGACTTTTATTGAGTCAAAGATCAAACAAACCAAAAAATGTACGTTTTGGGCTCCTGTGCAGTCCTATTTACAATAACCAAGGTGAAAATTGGCATAAATATAAATGTTCATGTGCCTAACACACTGACATAGACAAAAAGTTGGGTTTTCTCATTTTGAGTCTTTTTAGGGGGTAAGAGCTCATATTTTGAGGAGTTTTTGTCAATTACTTGGCCATATTCTGACCAATTGACATGGAGTTTGGTACAAAGGTACTTTTCTACTGGTGCCCCACATTAACAAACAAAAATGGTCCACCATTTTTAGTAATTATAGGGGAGTCAAGATGCCACAAATAAGCATAATGCTAGGTTTTTTGACAATTAATCTGCTGTATTTCAACCAATTTCCATGAGATTTGGTACAAAGAATCATTTTTTTACAGGTCCCATACATGTACTTACAAAAATGTGGGATTATGCCAATTTTTTACTCTTTACTCAGTATTATATTTTTTTAATACCCATAAACTGTATCTAATTTAATTACTAACAATACAATCTATAAAATAAGTTTCAAAACCACATTACACATATAAGAAAGGATTATTTTTTATGTATAAAAAATATACATATATGTCCACAACCAAAATATTTTTCCAAAAATGCAACTCTAATAATAACTTTTATATTTGGATTCTAAAAGGTTATGCAGAAAAAATGGAACAAGATAATGTGAGGAATGACAAAGTATTACATGTACATGTTCTCATTCCATGGCAGTCAAAAGCACTCAACATTTACTAAATAATGGCGGACACTACATATTCAAGAAGATGCATTCCAAACTAATACAAAGCACTCTACATTTGCTACATAATAACAGACAATGCATATTCTAGAAGATGTAATACATAATACAAAACACACTACACCTAATAGGTAATGACAGACTATGCATATTCCATAAGAAGCACATCATGCTAATACAAAGCACACTTCATTTACAATATAATGCTAGACACTGCATATTCCAAAAGTTTCACTCGATGCAAATACAAAGCATTACATTCACTACATAATGCTAGACAATACATATTCCAAAAAGTGCATCTTATACAGGTTTAAGTGCATATTTATTTCTTGGACTTATATAATCCCTAGGTATTAATAATAAGTATCAAAACTGTTTTTTTTTTATTTTTACTAAGTTACATGCTTCAACTAGAACAAGTTATGGGCTTTTAATCTTAAATATACCATACAAAATCTTTTACTTGTTTATGAACATGTCCCCTTTTAAAGTATATTTGCAAAATACAAGAAAACAATGATATAGTCAATTCAATAGTCTTTAAAATAATGTATTATTTCTACCAGTTATGTCTAGATAGATGAAATTAGTTTTGGCTCAAAATTCATCTTCATAACACAAAAGTTATAAACATATTATAACAATTAAAGTTTTATAAAATGGTTTTGAACATCTAAGAATACAGCAAGTGTTAACAATATATTTGCAATCAGTCATTAACTATGTTTTCAACAGCTAAAATAAATTCAGTACACTTCACATTTTCTGTAGTTTATTGAAGACAATTATCATAGTTAATTTCTAGTACTTACAAGTTTAATAATACTTCCTAGGCTCTGAATGCTTCAAGCTTTAATGTCCTTCCTATGATCCTCAACTACCAGAAAAAACTAAAAGTACAATCAATGGAATGATTTAGAGCAAGTAATCATAAATCTTACAGCACTGAATACACAAGCACATATGAAGTCAGAGGATTTCAGACTACTAACTTATTTGCTGAACCATATGTTAGTATACTAAACATATACACCCAAGCTGACTAGATATAGCCAAGATTTCTACTTTTGAATGTTTATCATCTCACACACTCTCATACACCACCTGATAAAATGACATGCTTTATACTTCTTTTACCATGGTTAACACAAGTGGTTTATTTTTGGTTTCAAGTGAATGACATTCTCTTTTTTTAACTGGTCTGATGCCAACAATTCCATTTTGAAACTAACCGAATACTACCCACATTAAAGATTGGCGACTTCCATTTGGTACTTGTGGAAGCAGTCAACTTTTTCTTTTTTTTTTAATTGGAAAGTGTAAGTAGAAGTAAATTTGGGGGTCATGGTCACTACATGGTATAAAATTATATAAAGTTTAACTAAGAACTGTTCTGAATGTTTCACACACACACACACACACACATATATATATATATATATATATATATATATATATATATATATACTATACTATATATATATACTA